ATCTAGTACAAAACACTTTTAGGAAATGCATTGCTGTTAATTTTAATTATTATTATTATTATCACACTGGCCGATTCCCGCCAAGGCAGGGTGGCCCGAAAAAGAAAAACTTTCACCATCATTCACTCCATCACTGTCTTGCCAGAAGGGTGCTTTACACTACAGTTTTTAAACTGCAACATTAACACCCCTCCTTCAGAGTGCAGGCACTGTACTTCCCATCTCCAGGACTCAAGTCCGGCCTGCCGGTTTCCCTGAATCCCTTCATAAATGTTACTTTGCTCACACTCCAACATCACGTCAAGTATTAAAAACCATTTGTCTCCATTCACTCCTATCAAACACGCTCACGCATGCCTGCTGGAAGTCCAAGCCCCTCGCACACAAAACCTCCTTTACCCCCTCCCTCCAACCCTTCCTAGGCCGACCCCTACCCCGCCTTCCTTCCACTACAGACTGATACACTCTTGAAGTCATTCTGTTTCGCTCCATTCTCTCTACATGTCCGAACCACCTCAACAACCCTTCCTCAGCCCTCTGGACAACAGTTTTGGTAATCCCGCACCTCCTCCTAACTTCCAAACTACGAATTCTCTGCATTATATTCACACCACACATTGCCTCAGACATGACATCTACACTGCTCCAGCCTTCTCCTCGCTGCAACATTCATCACCCACGCTTCACACCCATATAAGAGCGTTGGTAAAACTATACTCTCATACATTCCCCTCTTTGCCTCCAAGGACAAAGTTCTTTGTCTCCACAGACTCCTAAGTGCACCACTCACTCTTTTTCCCTCATCAATTCTATGATTCACCTCATCTTTCATAGACCCATCCGCTGACACGTCCACATCCCAAATATCTGAATACGTTCACCTCCTCCATACTCTCTCCCTCCAATCTGATATTCAATCTTTCATCACCTAATCTTTTTGTTATCCTCATAACCTTACTCTTTCCTGTATTCACCTTTAATTTTCTTCTTTTGCACACCCTACCAAATTCATCCACCAATCTCTGCAGCTTCTCTTCAGAATCTCCCAAGAGCACATGTGTCATCAGCAAAGAGCAGCTGTGACAACTCCCACTTTGTGTGTGATTCTTTATCTTTTAACTCCACGCCTCTTGCCAAGACCCTCGCATTTACTTCTCTTACAACCCCATCTATAAATATATTAAACAACCACGGTGACATCACACATCCTTGTCTAAGGCCTACTTTTACTGGGAAAAAATTTCCCTCTTTCCTACATACTCTAACTTGAGCCTCACTATCCTCGTAAAAACTCTTCACTGCTTTCAGTAACCTACCTCCTACACCATACACTTGCAACATCTGCCACATTGCCCCCCTATCACCCTGTCATACGCCTTTTCCAAATCCATAAATGCCACAAAGACCTCTTTAGCCTTATCTAAATACTGTTCACTTATATGTTTCACTGTAAATACCTGGTCCACACACCCCCTACCTTTCCTAAAGCCTCCTTGTTCATCTGCTATCCTATTCTCCGTCTTACTCTTAATTCTTTCAATTATAACTCTACCATACACTTTACCAGGTACACTCAACAGACTTATCCCCTATAATTTTTGCACTCTCTTTTATCCCCTTTGCCTTTATACAAAGGAACTATGCATGCTCTCTGCCAATCCCTAGGTACCTTACCCTCTTCCATACATTTATTAAATAATTGCACCAACCACTCCAAAACTATATCCCCACCTGCTTTTAACATTTCTATCTTTACCCATCAATCCCGGCTGCCTTACCCCCTTTCATTTTACCTACTGCCTCACGAACTTCCCCCACACTCACAACTGGCTCTTCCTCACTCCTACAAGATGTTATTCCTCCTTGCCCTATACACGAAATCACAGCTTCCCTATCTTCATCAACATTTAACAATTCCTCAAAATTTTCCCCTCCATCTTCCAATACCTCTAACTCTCCATTTAATAACTCTTCTCTCCTATTTTTAACTGACAAATCCATTTGTTCTCTAGGCTTTCTTAACTTGTTAATCTCACTCCAAAACTTTTTCTTATTTTCACCAAAATTTGTTGATAACATCTCACCCACTCTCTCATTTGCTCTCTTTTTACATTGCTTCACACAATCTCTTAACCTCTCTCTTTTTCTCCATATACTCTTCCCTCCTTGCATCACTTCTACTTTGTAAAAACTTCTCATATGCCAACTTTTTCTCCCTTACTACTCTCTTTACATCATCATTCCACCAATCGCTCCTCTTCCCTCCTGCACCCACTTTCCTGTAACCACAAACTTCTGCTGAACACTAACACTACATTTTTAAACCTACCCCATACCTCTTCGACCCCATTGCCTATGCTCTCATTAGCCCATCTATCCTCCAATAGCTGTTTATATCTTACCCTAACTGCCTCCTCTTTTAGTTTATAAACCTTCACCTCTCTCTTCCCTGATGCTTCTATTCTCCTTGTATCCCATCTACCTTTTACTCTCAGTGTAGCTACAACTAGAAAGTGATCTGATATATCTGTGGCCCCTCTATAAACATGTACATCCTGAAGTCTACTCAACAGTCTTTTATCTACCAATACATAATCCAACAAACTACTGTCATTTCGCCCTACATCATATCGTGTATACTTATTTATCCTCTTTTTCTTAAAATATGTATTACCTATAACTAAACCCCTTTCTATACAAAGTTCAATCAAAGGGCTCCCATTATCATTTACACCTGGCACCCCAAACTTACCTACCACACCCTCTCTAAAAAGTTTCTCCTACTTTAGCATTCAGGTCCCCTACCACAATTACTCTCTCACTTGGTTCAAAGGCTCCTATACATTCACTTAACATCTCCCAAAATCTCTCTCTCTCCTCTGCATTCCTCTCTTCTCCAGGTGCATACACGCTTATTATGACCCACTTCTCGCATCCAACCTTTGCTTTAATCCACATAATTCTTGAATTTACACATTCATATTCTCTTTTCTCCTTCCATAACTGATCATTTAACATTACTGCTACCCCTTCCTTTGCTCTAACTCTCTCAGATACTCCAGATTTAATCCCATTTATTTCCCCCCACTGAAACTCTCCTACCCCCTTCAGCTTTGTTTCGCTTAGAGCCAGGACATCCAACTTCTTTTCATTCATAACATCAGCAATCATCTGTTTCTTGTCATCCGCACTACATCCACGCACATTTAAGCATCCCAGTTTTATAAAGTTTTTCTTCTTCTCTTTTTTAGTAAATGTATACAGGAGAAGGGGTTACTAGCCCATTGCTCCCGGCATTTTAGTCGCCTCATACGACACGCATGGCTTACGGAGGAAAGATTCTTTTCCACTTCCCCATGGACAATAGAAGAAATAAAAAAGAACAAGAGCTATTTAGAAAAAGGAGAAAAACCTAGATGTATGTATATATATATATGCATGTGCGTGTCTGTGAAGTGTGACCAAAGTGTAAGTAGGAGTAGCAAGATATCCCTGTTATCTAGCGTGTTTATGAGACAGAAAAAGAAACCAGCAATCCTACCATCATGCAAAACAGTTACAGGTTTTTGTTTCACAGTCATCTGGCAGGACGGTAGTACTTCCCTGGGTGGTTGCTGTCTACCAACCTACTACCTACCTGTTAATTTTAAGATGTGATCATTTCACTTGCAATCTTAGGGATACTGCTCTGTTGCTTGTGAAGTCATATCTTTTTGATCGGTCATATCAATCGGTAGTCAGTGATTCCTTATTTGAGCCATCTCCTGTGCCCTATGAAGGTCCTCTGGCTGTTCTTAGTCTGGTATTGTTTGTTGTGTATGTTAGTGGCTTAGGTTCACTGTTGGATGTCCACAGGTTTGATTATCATTTTTATGCTGACTTGTGTCAGGTTTATATCTGGGTTTTGAATGTGGAAGATGCTATGCTTTGCATGTGTATGGAATAGGTGGTAGGTTACTGAATGCTGTTAAGAATTGTCACAGTTGCTTGTTGCTGATGACACTACTTTTGAGAGATCCTGAAGAGAAGTTGAAAAGGTTGGTGAACAAATTTAGGAGGGCATATAAAGGAAGGAAATTAAAAGTGAACATAGGAAAGAGGAAAGTGATGAGGGTAACAAACAAGTTAGGTTATGAAAGATTGGATATCAGATTGGAAGGAGGAAGCGAATATGTGGATATTTAGGAGTGAACTTGCCTGTGGATGGGTATATGAAAGATGAGGTGAAACATAGAATTGATGAAAGGAAAGTGTGCAGTGCATTGAGACATTGTGCAGATAAAGAAAATTATCAGTGGATGCAAAATGGGAAATGTAGGAGAGTATAGTAGTACCAACACACTTATATGGGTGTGAAGTATGGGTTGTGAATGTTGCAGTGAGGAGGAGGCTGGAGGCAGTAGACATGGTGTCTGAGGGCAATGTGTAGTGTAAATATTATGCATAGGGCTGAGGAGGGATTGTTGAGGTGGTTTGGACATTTATAGGGAAAGAAGCTAAATGGGATGGCTTGGAGAGAGTATAAATCTGTAGTGGAGGGAAGGCATCTTAGGGGTCGCCATAGGAATGGTTGGAGGGAGGGCGTAAAGGTTGTGATATCCAGCAGGCATGTGTGTGTGTTAGACTTGAGTGGAAGCAAATCTTTTTTGGGATATGACAGGCTGTTGAAGTGTGAGCAAGGTAACATTTTGTGAAGGGGTTCAGGAAAACTGGTTAGCCAGACTCATATCCTGGTGGTGGGAAGTACATTACTTGTACTCTGCAGGAGGGGTGGGCATATTTGCAGTTTCGAGGGGCATCTGAACTGTAGTATCAATGTGCTTCTGGCAAAACAGTGATAGAGTGAATGATGGTGAAAGTGCTACTTCTGTTGAGTCACCCTACCTCAGTGGGAGACTTAAAAAAATTATTATTGTTATTTATTATTAGGGAAAAGCTCTTTTAAAAGTCAGTAACTTTACCTGAATTTGCATGTGCATTACAGTAATCTCCTCCTACAGCTCTTAAAAAGCGACTTGCTGAAACAGTCATCCGATGCACATCTTGTAATGAGCAAGTAAATCATCAGTTGAGGTCCTTGGTTCACACACATCCTGTACTTAAAGTCTTCATTTGCAAGGTAAGTAATCTGTTGTTAAGAAGCATATCAAAATACTACACCTATTCTTCTTTCTTCTTTCAACAAACCGGCTGTCTCCCACCGAGGCAGGGTGGCCCAAAAAGAAAAAACAAAAGTTTCTCTTTTTAATTTTAGTAATGTAGTCAGAAGGGGTTACTAGCCCCTTGCTCCCGGCATTTTAGTTGCTTCTTACGACACGGATTGCCTACAAAGGAAGAATTCTATTCCACTTCCCCATGGAGATACGAGGAAATAAACTAGAACAAGAACTAATAAGAAAATAGAAGAAAACCCAGAGGGGTGTGTATATATATGCATGTACATGCATATGGGGAATCAAATTCAAAATGGGAATTGACACAGTTACTTTTTGCTGATGATACTGTGCTTATGGGAGATTCTAAAGAAAAATTGCAAAGGTTAGTGGATGAGTTTGGGAATGTGTGTAAAGGTAGAAAGTTGAAAGTGAACATAGAAAAGAGTAAGGTGATGAGGGTGTCAAATGATTTAGATAAAGAAAAATTGGATATCAAATTGGGGAGGAGGAGTATGGAAGAAGTGAATGTTTTCAGATACTTGGGAGTTGACGAGTCGGCGGATGGATTTATGAAGGATGAGGTTAATCATAGAATTGATGAGGGAAAAAAGGTGAGTGGTGTGTTGAGGTATATGTGGAGTCAAAAAACGTTATCTATGGAGGCAAAGAAGGGAATGTATGAAAGTATAGTAGTACCAACACTCTTATATGGGTGTGAAGCTTGGGTGGTAAATGCAGCAGCGAGGAGACGGTTGGAGGCAGTGGAGATGTCCTGTTTAAGGGCAATGTGTGGTGTAAATATTATGCAGAAAATTCGGAGTGTGGAAATTAGGAGAAGGTGTGGAGTTAATAAAAGTATTAGTCAGAGGGCAGAAGAGGGGTTGTTGAGGTGGTTTGGTCATTTAGAGAGAATGGATCAAAGTAGAATGACATGGAAAGCATATAAATCTATAGGGGAAGGAAGGAGGGGTAGGGGTCGTCCTTGAAAGGGTTGGAGAGAGGGGGTAAAGGAGGTTTTGTGGGTAAGGGGCTTGGACTTCCAGCAAGCGTGCGTGAGCGTGTTAGATAGGAGTGAATGGAGACGAATGGTACTTGGGACCTGACGATCTGTTGGAGTGTGAGCAGGGTAATATTTAGTGAAGGGATTCAGGGAAACCGGTTATTTTCATATAGTCGGACTTGAGTCCTGGAAATGGGAAGTACAATGCCTGCACTTTAAAGGAGTGGTTTGGGATATTGGCAGTTTGGAGGGATATGTTGTGTATCTTTATACGTATATGCTTCTAAACTGTTGTATTCTGGGCACCTCTGCAAAAGCAGTGATAATGTGTGAGTGTGGTGAAAGTGTTGAATGATGAAAGTATTTTCTTTTTGGGGATTTTCTTTCTTTTTTGGGTCACCCTGCCTCGGTGGGAGACGGCCGACTTGTTGAAAAAAAAAAAAAAAAAAAAAAAAAACATGCATGAGTAGTGTGACCAGAGTGCAAATAGAAGTAACAAGATGTACCTGAAATCTTGCATGCTTATAAGACAGAAAAAAGACACCAGCAATCCTACCATCATGTAAAACAATTACAGGCTCTCTTTACTATACCTATTACTCTTTGAAAAAATTATATTTTCAATGAGTACTCCAGTGTATGAACCTCTCAGTCTACTAAACATCCTGCTTCAGTTTGGGTAGCAGCCCTTAGGTTTTCAGATTACTAAATTGACATTGTTAAATTTTAGGCTGTGTATGGTAGTTTAACTATTCCTGTATTAGCTTCTCTTTACTTATAGCATGTTAAATTATAAGCTGTATATAGCAATTAACTACCCAACATCAGCTTTTTTTTTTTTTTACTGCTGACTTGTTCTGGCTTCTTATATGCTATTTAGTATTTGACAAAATTTTGGAGATGACCAAGGACCTGAATGCTTAATAGAAGTCAAAAATGTTCATAGTGTGTAATACACAAGGGAAAAATTTAGAAGAAATTTAACCAGTCAGGTTTGGTATCCTCTGATGATGCTGTTTATAGGGTTCAAAGGAATTTCACTTCTGTAGTTTATTTATAAATCATAGTGTGATATTAACAGTAGAAATAATAAGCTTGTTTTACTGTACTTTGTTGATAATTATCTTATTTTACAAATTTGAAACAATTAACTTTATCTCCATCAACTCTACAGTAATTTGAGAAGTTTATCCTGAGCATCAGGATTTTTTTTATTTGATAAAGAGCATTGCAATTGCATTCTCTTGCTTCATTGTTGCATTGTATATCAGTGTTATTTTAATTATGCAGAGATGCCGGAAATACTACGGCAGAGGCAAATTTTGCAAAGATGAAGAAGGTTATGATGAATACTGCCGTTTGTGTGCAGAGGGAGGAGATCTTCTATGCTGTGAAAGAGAGGACTGCTTCAACGGTTTTTGTAAGGTAAAATACTCCATTATGAAAAAGTCCCTCTTACACAGATAACAGTAATAGTGGTTCTGCAGAATATTCTCATTTTTTTAGGAAAGTTTTATTGCTTAGACTGTCATTGTTGAGAATAAGAGTTAATCCAAGTGTGTTGTCTGAAAGAATTTGAGGGTTTATTATAGTGTCAGGTGATATCTAACTCGTGTGAGTTAGATATCACCTAAGTAAGTGGTGTATCTTCTGTGTTTTAAGTTCTCTTTCTTTAAAGTTTCCAGTGGTTGAAGAAGTTCAATCATATTGTGGGTCAGAGCTTTTATTTGGCCAGTTGACTTGATTTTTGTCTAATACATATGTCTATTATGAGGACCTGTTTACAATGAGTGCCTCAATAAAGTGATTGAACGTTGGGAGAAAATTTGGTGAGAAGACTCTCTCTCCTCTGAGAGAACAGTACTATGGAGGTGATGTTCCTGAAAATCATACATTCTTAAGACCTGGTGACATAGTGATTATTGACAGTGATGGTCAAAAATCTCAGTGGCATCTTGAAACATAAGATGTGGAGAACCTTACCATCCAAGTCTGGTTTCCAACATAAACAGAAAGCAGCAATATATTTAGCTTCAGTGATGACTCAGACTTCTTGCAGTCACAGTTCAAGGAATTTCCTTCAAATGAGTTAAGTCCTCACTCCTGAGCTGTAGAGTAGCGAGTAATTCATTAACATGTGCCCCAAAGGAGCATATAATTCAGCATATCACATTTGACTATACATGTGATGATGATGGATACTCACTGGGTTTTGGGAGGATCGCCCTCAAGTTGCGGGATCTATTGGTAACTTCATTCAAATCCCACCTCTACCCATTAGGTGCAGCTAACATACGACGAAGTGGGTATGACTGAACTTACCTGGGTATTGCAACTGACCCAATTTTCCTTAGCTTGTTGTAGGGGAGGTTTAATGACCCTGATATCGTTGTCTCGAGTAGGCTGCTACAGATGTGTAGTTATATTGTCCTCACTCTTAATGCCTGAGTGCATGACACTCAGTGTTTGTTTATATAAACTAGTTAAATTTCATAGTGGAAATTGATAGTATTTCAGTCTACTGCATGAGTTCACTATTGTCTTTGTTCTCAGTGGGAGATTTTGTGACGTATGTATGCTCTGAGTCCTGAAGTCAGTCTGCTTGCCGCCCTCCAGTTCCTCGTACACACAAAGGAAATGCTGAGTTCAGTTTTATATACTTTCCTTGCTACACATTGCAACATGGATTAACTAAGAGGACCGTTTCCTTGTCGTTTAGCCGTGGGCTAATAGTAATAATGCCTCTGACATGTAAACTAAAGTGAGTCACAGGTTTTCCCTTAATCTTCCTTCTATGGGGAAAGAGTAATTACTCTAGGGTTAACCCTTATTATGTGGTTGCTCAGAAATTCTAGCAAGGAGAAAGATATGTGCATGGTGATGCCTGGTACATACATGTGTCATTAACAAAGCTGCGGGAGGAAGTGGAAGAATCCACTAGCCCCTTTCCGAGATGGCTAAGCCCCTCAGGGGGCTGAGAGATACCCCTTTACTGGCAAATTTTCTCCGCATCATCCATCATAAAATTAATTAGGTATATACCCTACGATTGAGGTTTGTACATTGTGCATTCTTTTCTCCCATTTTCCCTGCCCTCCCATTACCTTTCATTTTTACACTCCCCTCGATGTTTTTTTTTTTTTTCCCCCCCTTCCGTCACCCTCCTTTTCTCTATATATTCACACTCCATTTTATTCTCTTCTTGTCCATTTTTTCTCCCTCACCTTCATTTTTTTCTCCCCTTCCTTTTTTTCTCCCCTTCCCTTTTTCTCCCCTTATTTTATTTTATTTTATTATCACACTGGCCAATTCCCACCAAGGCAGGGTGGCCCGAAAAAGAAAAACTTTCACCATCATTCACTCCATCACTGTCTTGCCAGAAGGGTGCTTTACACTACAGTTTTTAAACTGCAACATTAACACCCCTCCTTCAGAGTGCAGGCACTGTACTTCCCATCTCCAGGACTCAAGTCCGGCCTGCCGGTTTCCCTGAATCCCTTCATAAATGTTACTTTGCTCACACTCCAACAGCATGTCAAGTATTAAAAACCATTTGTCTCCATTCACTCCTATCAAACACGCTCACGCATGCCTGCTGGAAGTCCAAGCCCCTCGCACACAAAACCTCCTTTACCCCCTCCCTCCAACCTTTCCTATGCCGACCCCTACCCCGCCTTCCTTCCACTACAGACTGATACACTCTTGAAGTCATTCTGTTTCGCTCCATTCTCTCTACATGTCCGAACCACCTCAACAACCCTTCCTCAGCCCTCTGGACAACAGTTTTGGTAATCCAGCACCTCCTCCTAACTTCCAAACTACGAATTCTCTGCATTATATTCACACCACACATTGCCCACAGACATGACATCTCCACTGCCTCCAGCCTTCTCCTCGCTGCAACATTCATCACCCACGCTTCACACCCATATAAGAGTGTTGGTAAAACTATACTCTCATACATTCCCCTCTTTGCCTCCAAGGACAAAGTTCTTTGTCTCCACAGACTCCTAAGTGCACCACTCACTCTTTTTCCCTCATCAATTCTATGATTCACCTCATCTTTCATAGACCCATCCGCTGACACGTCCACTCCCAAATATCTGAATACGTTCACCTCCTCCATACTCTCTCCCTCCAATCTGATAACCAATCTTTCATCACCTAATCTTTTTGTTATCCTCATAACCTTACTCTTTCCTGTATTCACCTTTAATTTTCTTTTGCACACCCTACCAAATTCATCCACCAATCTCTGCAACTTCTCTTCAGAATCTCCCAAGAGCAACAGTGTCATCACAAAGAGCACTGTGACAACTCCCACTTTGTGTGTGATTCTTTATCTTTTTAACTCCACGCCTCTTGCCAGGACCCTCGCATTTACTTCTCTTACAACCCCATCTATAAATATATTAAACAACCACGGTGACATCACACATCCTTGTCTAAGGCCTACTTTTACTGGGAAAAAATTTCCCTCTTTCCTACATACTCTAACTTAAGCCTCACTATCCTCGTAAAAACTCTTCACTGCTTTCAGTAACCTACCTCCTACACCATACACTTGCAACATCTGCCACATTGCCCCCCTATCCACCCTGTCATACGCCTTTTCCAAATCCATAAATGTCACAAAGACCTCTTTAGCCTTATCTAAATACTGTTCACTTATGTTTCACTGTAAACACCTGGTCCACACACCCCCTACCTTTCCTAAAGCCTCCTTGTTCATCTGCTATCCTATTCTCCGTCTTACTCTTAATTCTTTCAATTATAACTCTACCATACACTTTGCCAGGTATACTCAGCAGACTTATCCCCCTATAATTTTTGCACTCTCTTTTATCCCCTTTGCCTTTATACAAAGGAACTATGCATGCTCTCTGCCAATCCCTAGGGACCTTACCCTTTTCCATACATTTATTAAATAATTGCACTAACCACTCCAAAACTATATCCCCACCTGCTTTTTAACATTTCTAATCTTATCCCATCAATCCCGGCTGCCTTACCCCCTTTCATTTTACCTACTGCCTCACGAACTTCCCCCACACTCACAACTGGCTCTTCCTCACTCCTACAAGATGTTATTCCTCCTTGTCCTATACACGAAATCACAGCTTCCCTATCTTCATCAACATTTAACAATTCCTCAAAATATTCCCTCCATCTTCCCAGTACCTCTAACTCTCCATTTAATAACTCTCCTCTCCTATTTTTAACTGACAAATCCATTTGTTCTCTAGGCTTTCTGAAATTGTTAATCTCACTCCAAAACTTTTTTTTATTTTCAACAAAATTTGTTGATAACATCTCACCCACTCTCTCATTTGCTCTCTTTTTTACATTGCTTCACCCACTCTCTTAACCTCTCTCTTTTTCTCCATATACTCTTCCCTCCTTGCATCACTTCTACTTTGTAAAAACTTCTCATATGTTAACTTTTTTCTCCTACTACTCTCTTTACATCATCATTCCACCAATCGCTCCTCTTCCCTCCTGCACCCACTTTCCTGTGACCACAAACTTCTGCTGAACACTCTAACACTACATTTTTAAACCTACCCCATACCTCTTCGACCCCATTGCCTATGCTCTCATTAGCCCATCTATCCTCCAATAGCTGTTTATATCTTACCCTAACTGCCTCCTCTTTTAGTTTATAAACCTTCACCTCTCTCTTCCCTGATGCTTCTATTCTCCTTGTATCCCATCTACCTTTTACTCTCAGTGTAGCTACAACTAGAAAGTGATCTGATATAAACTGTGGCCCCTCTATAAACATGTACATCCTGAAGTCTACTCAACAGTCTTTTATCTACCAATACATAATCCAACAAACTACTGTCATTTTGCCCTACATCATATCTTGTTAACTTTATTTATCCTCTTTTTCTTAAAATATGTATTACCTATAACTAAACCCCTTTCTATACAAAGTTCAATCAAAGGGCTCCCATTATCATTTACACCTGGCACCCCAAACTTACCTACCACACCCTCTCTAAAGTTTCTCCTACTTTAGCATTCAGGTCCCCTACCACAATTACTCTCTCACTTGGTTCAAAGGCTCCTATACATTCACTTAACATCTCCCAAAATCTCTCTCTCTCCTCTGCATTCCTCTCTTCTCCAGGTGCACACACGCTTATTATGACCCACTTCTCGCATCCAACCTTTACTTTAATCCACATAATTCTTGAATTTACACATTCATATTCTCTTTTCTCCTTCCATAACTGATCATTTAACATTACTGCTACCCATTCCTTTGCTCTAACTCTCTCAGATACTCCAGGTTTAATCCCATTTATTTCCACCCACTGAAAATCTCCTACCCCCTTCAGCTTTGTTTCGCTTAGGGCCAGGACATCCAACATCTTTTCATTCATAACATCAGCAATCATCTGTTTCTTGTCACCCGCACTACATCCACGCACATTTAAGC